AAATCTGCCCTAAGTCCTTTGTGGAAGCTTTCCTCATCAGTGACCTCTCTTCAGCAGGGACAGCACCCTTAAAATCAACTGACCCCTTTCTCTAATTGAAATATAAAATTATTCCAACTCTACTTTAGACTTGGACCAAAATTCCACACCCTGTCTTGAACCAATAATGAAACAGTCTTCAAAAAGTTTTCATGAAAGTGGCTTGTTGTATCTTAGGAAACTCAAGGACGAAATTATAACCAAACCCGCAATGAACATTAACATTCCAAGATCTTTTTATTCCTGTTCTTTTTCTGCGCAGACGCATCCATGTACACGTAACACAGCCATGACGTAACTTAATATAATGTAACACAAGTATAACAAAACAAGGTCACGATATAACATGGCTTATTTCCTCACTTTTGTGCCTGACCAGTCATTCAAAACTTTGGCAAAAATTATTCATGATACACATGTTGAGTTGGGAAGATTTGGTATTGGATCAACTAATCTTGTAATTGATATTTTTCTTCATTCTCATCACTTCTCTGCTTGATATTGTATTGATATTATAAGGAGAAATTCTGTCTTGGTCACTCATGGGAGTTTAAAAGATCAACATAATTATAATATGTATGCACATGCATATTTTGTAAGTTGAGAAAGGGAGTTCTTATTCCACTTTTATTTCATTATTAGTGTTTTTACCCAAAGAGTGAAGAGAAACTCATTTCTCTTTATAGTGTCATTCATGAATCACACATTGAGGTGACCTAAGAATATAAAGGAAATGATCACCATCTTAAAAAACTCTTGATTGTTCCACAAATTCTCCTTGTCAGCATCTTAGGAAACGTATAGAGTACAGTAGGGAAAATATATACATACGGTACTGATGTTAGGGTGTACAGATTAAGCTGCATTGAAAAAGCCCTGCTTCGCCTCCCTCTCACTTTGATCAGCTGTAAAAAGTAAAGCATGATTTGTTTCTAGCAAATGGGATTTGACCTCCTAGTTCATGGTCCATGATTATTATTCATGAAAACTTTGAAGAGAGCAGGTTTCGGTATAGTTTGAAAACAAAGAGGATCAAAGTGTAAATAAAATGCATTGAAGGGTGAGATCACTGAACATCTTGATGTGCTCAGTTCTACAATGAACCAATAACATGGTTATAATACCCAAAATGGTTACATGTCAATAGTCAGCAGACAAAGAACAGAATGGGGCAGAAACAAAACATATTATAAATCAGCAATTAACAATTATTAGACCTTACTGCTGGGTGAGTTCAAGAGACTGATGCCAAAAACTATTTTTTTTAACAAAAAATTGATACAGATTCTATTGAACTATTTTTAACCTCTAGTCGGTATTTTTATTTCTCAATTTTAAACCTTAGTTTGTAGTCTTAGTCCTCAATGTCATCTTTTATCATAGTTTTAATTTTTTTATTTTTAGGGGACCCTCCTGAAAATCACCTTCAGATGATTGGAATCCTGCTAATAAATTATTGTCATCGTCGTCGTCGTTATTATTATTAACAGATCAGAAGAAAAAAAAAAGGAATGGAAAACTATACTTTAAATTAAGTAAACTAAAGCATAATATGATTTGGCTATGAATAAATGGTATTAGAATTTCGTACTTTCATTCAAATACTCCTTGGCATCGTGATTTCCTTAAGGATTGAACTCCAGCAATCAACATGTAAGTCCATGAGTCTGGAACGTTCCACCTGATAAAGGTCTTTTTTCCTTTCCCTAATTGTTAACTGGTTATTGGACTATGTGTTACAGGTATACTTACTCTGCAGACGAACATCTACATCTAACTTTTCCTCACATTATCACCCATGAATCGCATGTTAGGGTCACAAGAAAAATATATAATGATCAACAACTATAGAAGGTCTGGATTGTTTAACAAATTCTCCTTCTCAGCACCTTAGAAAATAGGAGATATGGACACTGACGTCAGGCTTTAAAGACTTACGACAATTTATGACCTACTACGTAACACATATACCAATATTTGAAGACCGCTGAGGCCAATTTTCAAAATGGCGGGTCTGCCGGGTCGGTGAGTTTTTTTCTTCGTCCGAGGCAGAGAAGCCTTATGACGAAAAGAACGTCATATCAAGGGGCGAAAATGTACAAGAACAGCAAGTGAATGGAAAACAGGAAGGAAATGCATGTGTGGATCATTTGATTCATACGGGAAGTCTACCACATCCTCGGAGACCCAGGGGCAGTGAGTCGATTTCAAGTTAAGGGCAGAAGAGCCCCTGGGGACATTGTCTTACAAGACTAGTTCCAAACGGTCGCAGTCGTTCTGGCATCTGATTGGTGCCAGAAAATCTTTGTGTTTTTCTGCCCAATCAGAGTGAAGTGTCGTTTGGAGTCCTTTCGTGTGTTTTAACACGCACATATTCAACAAGCTCTGTTGCTCGCTATGTTTGTTTGGGCCGTGCGACGAAGCTTTGCCCGAGGTGAAAAGTTTCAGTCTCAGCACACAATGTAAGAGAAATCGATCAGATTGTCCGCGAAATCTTACCGGAAATTATACTGAATACTTTCGCAGGTATCACAAGAGAACGAGTTTAAAAGTTTGCGAGGTTCGTATAAAACATAATGGTTGCA